TATATATATATATATATATATATATATATAATGTAATGATGTTATTATGGTACATTTTGATTTTTTTTATTAAGTTTGATATGAGATGTTTGAGTGATTATAATTAGTTTAGATTAATTTGAGTGACATGAAGCTTGGAATGAAGTCAAAACATGGACTAAATGACTTAAGAAAGGACATATAAATTTAATGATAAATAAATTATTAAATAAATAAATGTACCTTTGACTGTCTATAGAAAATATTGACTTTGATGTTTTTTTGTTGAGTATGACACCTAAACATTAAAATGTGGTTGGTCAAATTAGTCCATCAAATTGAGTGTTAAATGTAAATAGAAATATGATCAAATAAATATTCTATTATTAAAGAGACATTTTCTCTTCTTGAATTTGAATTTGTTCTTTGAATCGTACTCTAGAAATATAGCGTAAATAAGGAGAAAGAGAAAATAAGCAATAGAATGAGAGAATTTGTGCACAAAAGGGGGATGCAATATGTGAAGTTATACTTATGTTCCTATTTGAGTAGGAACTGTACAGGTTTTTCTAAGTATTTCACTCTTGTGGGCCTAAGGGAGCTCTCTGGCTTGTGCGACTGGGCTTCATAGGACTTAGGTGAGCCTTGTTGGTCGGCTAGATTTGACGCTATCGTCGGTTAGAAATATCTCAGGGTATCTACCGACTTAATAGGTGTGGGTTAGTAGGACTAGCCCAATCGGTGGAATTCTACCTATCGGTATGGGAGATCTTATCATCAACTCCAAATCTCCACTAAGGAGCTCCTGTCAACAGGGTGAAGCTAGGCTATTGAGTAGAGGGTAAATTACCATAATTTGACAGGTAGCCTTCCCTTAGGCAAGAAGATCGTGGTCGAAACTTATTATATTTTCTTAATGGTATTGGGGGAGATGGCTGAGTGATCCCGATGTGACAGAGTCCTCTCATTGATTGGATTCATCTTGTTGGCAGGCTTGGACGAAACTTCACGTGTTGCATGAATGAGTCACTCTGGCTGATAAAACTTCAATTATCGTCATGATTTGAGCAGTCTCAAGTTTGCTACACCTGGTCGGATATCTGTTGCACTGATAAAGCTTTTGGTATTAGAGCTTTTTTTCTTAGATTGTTGGATCTCCTCGAGACTTGTGCACACATTTTTTGTATGCACAATTATTTCATTGATTCTCTTTCTTTTTTAAAGTTGTTCGGCGATAAGAACAAGGGAATTTAATGTGCAATAATAAGCATAATTTATGATTATTTAATGATTCAATAATTATACTCCCTATATTTTTGTGCCCCTCAATCCCTATAAATAGGGCGTGAAGGCTTAGCTTTTTTCATCATCTCTATCGCTATATCTCTCAGCTCCTTTGAATTTAGTTTGACACCGTGGTGAATGAATCAACTTCAAAATCTGATCTTTTTGGCAAGACCACGTACCTAGGACACATAAAGAGATGAGAGGGGATTCTCCACTGGAGGGTGAGAAGAAGAAGTTGGTTGTGAGAAAGCTATACCACTTTGTCAATCCATCCCACAAAGAAAGAGGTATTACCTATCGCTCGAACCATTTGAGGGACTGTTAGTGTTGTGGGGTAGCCTAAGGCACAATGCGCATGAATCTCTAGGATATCTAATGGTCTAGAAGAAAATAAATATAATGCCAAGAGGACCCACCAAAGGCTTGATTGATGGAATAGATATCCGACCGGGTGTAACAAATTAGAGACAGCCTGTCACGAGGATGATCGAAGTGCTATCAGCCCGAGCAGCTGATTCAAGTGACGTGCAATGGTTCATCCATGCATGCTAACACGATGAAGTCAATCCAAGAGAGAACGACTGTCATATCAGGATCACTCAACCTTATCTCTCAATATCATGAAGAGAATACGATAGGTTTCAACCATCTCACCAAGATTTTCTCATCTAATGGATGGCTACCTGTGAGATTTAGATGATTCACCTTTTGCCCGATGTCCTAGCTTTGTTTTATTGATAAGTGCTCCTTAGTGGAGATTGAGAGTCAATGACTATACCTTTACCTTCTGATTGGTAGAATTGTGCTGATCAAACCAGTCCTACTAACCGTCAACTATCGAGCTGACAAGTAGCCTTAGATTTATTTGACCAATAGCAGTGTCAGATCTAGCTAACCAAAAGGGCCTACTTAAGTCTTATCAAATCCAACAAACCAAGCCAAAGAGCAGCAAGGCATTGGACCCACAAGGGTAACATACCTAGAAAAATTCGTACAGTTACTACTCAAGTAGGGATATAAATATTACTTCACATATTGTACTTATTCTATTATTCATTATTATGCACTCTCTTACTCTTTTTTCACTCTCTCTTTTGCTCTGCACTCTTGAATTCAACTATAAAAATCATATTGTTTGATGGAGTTATTAGAACATTTAAGGATGTGAGACATATCCCTAATATAAAAATGTATTTAATTTCTTTAAAGTACCCTCAGTACGAAAGGTCATAAGTGCACTAGTCAAGGTAAGGTTTTGAAGGTTGGCAACAACTCTCCTGTTATGATGAATGTTATATGACTTATAAGACTCTATAGTAGTGGGTGATATAGTAGTTATTACTTATTTTATATAAATGATAAAACAATTAGAATTTATCACATATATCTTGAGCATGTGAGTGAGAATGGATGACAGAACTGAGCAAAGGGAGACACTTTAATGACCCAATCATTACTGAATTGGAGTTTATAAGTGTTGCATGTTTAAAAAACAAAATAGAGAAATTTTCATTGAATGTATTCATATTATATAGGGTATGTTGAACTATATAAATATATATAATACTCTTTTGGGAACATCCATAGTACCATCTATGATAGGAGCTAGATATATGCTATTTATTATTAATAATATTAGAAAGAGTTTGGTTTTTCTTCTTAAAGTAGCCATAATGGTGCATTTGTTATATTTAAAGAGTAAGAAAAAAGTTATGACTGAGAAGTAAAATAGAAAGTTGATAAAATGTCTTTATATTGATAATGACTTAGAATTTAATTTAGTAGAATTTAATGACTTCTACAAATTAAAAGGAAATTTTAGAGACTTCATCTTTGATATACTCCACAATAAAATGGTGTGATGGAGCGGATGATCTAATGATACTGATCAGGAGGATCTATTTGAAAAGTGAAAATCCAAATTGAGAAAAATACATCTACTCGCATGATTTTTAAGTTAAGTTTAGATAGTCATAGTGATTTTACTTTCCCATCAACTCAACAACTAACACCTCTCTATTATTTATCAATAATAAAACATGAAGAGAAATTAAACAACAATAGAGGCATGGTGTGTTTGAATTGGTTTCTTATGCTGCCCTAAGGGACAAAAGTATATAGTGTGGTGGAGAATCTTCTAGTTATAATGATGCAATTAACATATTTATATCTAGTAAATGGACGATTACTATGTATGAGGAGATGGAATCCTTGTACAATTACAATCCATAGGATTTAGTGAAGCTATCTTAATAGAAGAAAGCTATCAATTGCAAATAAGTGTATGAAGAAAGAAATTCATCATAATTTGACAATCCGATAGATATGGTTAAACAAGTTATAATGAGATTCAATCTAATACTAGGAGTACGTTTTATAATGAAATCTCTCTAGTGGTCAATTATAGCATAATTTGAGCTTTACTGGGTATTATAGCTAATTATGAACTTGAGCTACAACAATTGAATGTAAAGGCTTTTTGTTGCATGTAGATCTTGAGGAGAATATTTATATGCAGCAATCCAAGGGCTTTATAGTTACAAGAAAATAAGATTACTTATTCTTATTAAAGAAGACTTTATTGGTGTGAAATAGTATCCTAAGTAAAAAAATAATAAATTGACTTATTTATAATCACTCATGAATTTAAAAAGAGTAGCTATGATAGTTCTATCTATTTCAAAAGAAATGATGATGGGTACTTTGTTTACTTTCTCTTATATGTTGATGATATGTTGATAGGTTTTAAAAATAACAAAAAAGTAAAAGCTTGAAGGCTCAAACGAGTAGTGAATTTAAGATCAAAGATTTGAGAGTTATAAAGATGATATTTTGCATAGAAATTCATAGAGATAGAAAGATAGCAAAATTATTTTTAAGTCAAAAGGTGTACGTCGAGAAAGTTCTACATATGCTTAATATGTAGAATGTAAAACTTTTTAGTTGTGCATTTCAAAATTTTATCAGCTTTGTTTCCATGCTAAGATAATTAGATTAAGTATATTTCTATATTTTCATATTCCAGTGTAGTGGTATCTCTTATGTTTGTTTTGATATATTTTCTTATAGACTTATAATAAATAAATCAATGCAATCAGTATATACATTCATAATTTAAGTAATGAGAATTGCGAAATAATTCATTAGTTTCTTTGGTACTTGTATGGAATTAAAGTGGTTTGTTTATAATCAAGAAGACTATAAACATAGTCATCGACTATGTTAACACAAACATTGCTACATATCTTGATAAGTGGAGACCACTGATTGGATTTTATTTATCATAGGTGGCTATGTGATTAGCTAAAAGAACACTTTATAATCCACAATGACATTATTTTTT